AAGGGGAGGGGGTGGGCGCTTATTCTAGGCTGGGCGCTTATTAACGTTTTCTACCTTTAGGATGGGCGCTTATTCGAGATGGGCACTAATTCGAGGTTGGGCGCTTATTTGAATAAATACGGTAATCGCAAAATTCTTCTAAACTTGGTCAACAGTAGCTGGTTATGGTAAATTATACGTGTGCTTTTAACCAATCAGAAACGGAGAAATATTTTGAATGAATAATAAAAATAATTATTACTTACAGTGCCATGTACATTGGTGTGACTTGAAAGCATAAGCACCAAAACTTATAAAAGACGTTTAAGGGCTAACAGTAATTGAAATTTATAGGAACTTCATCCTATGAATATCATTTGCTTGTTGCTGGGATGTGGGCTGACCGTCAGCCTAGAGTCTCGACTGCAATAAAAGCTACTACGTGTGGGCTTTCTGTAGACCAGTGTTTAATAACCTTGCGCAAGAAGGGATACGTTCCTTGTCAGGATTACATTTAAGTTCCCCATCACTGCTTTGACACTTAACATAGACACCAGTTTAGATATACACAAAACGATAAATTTATTTGAAGAAGGTGATTTTTATAGGTACAATTTGCGTCCGGTGTAAAACGCATTCTCTGCACAGATGTATAATTAAAAGTCATGTAGACTTAAATCAAACTTAGAAATTTTGTCTCCTACAAAGAGAGATCAACGGACTCTTTAATTTGTTTTGACCAGGCACTAAACAATTACGGAGTTCAATTTCCTTAGTTGTCTTTCCCTTTTCTTTCCGGCTTAACCTCTTGTACGTAAAAGGAGTCGACAAGAGAAATCACAAACGTTTGACGGCAAAAACAACGTCGAATAAGCCTGGGCTATGAAACAGCAATCCTATGCCTATCAAAAATACTGGTAAATGTAAAACTACATCAGTGATTTAACCTAGTATCTGAACACTCAGGTAATTTGACTTCAATGTTAGTATGGAAACCTTTCTAAACACTAATAAACTGAAACCAATCTGCTAAAAGAATTAAAAATTACAACTGTATATACTAAATAATAAAACAGTAAAGAACTAATTAAAATATTAAATTGCCAGTAGACACGTCTAAAGTGTCTCTGTCACATGTGGTACAACAATAAACATAGGATAAAAGGAGTACTGTATACTTCCGCTTGTAAGCCCTAGGCTTATTATTTTAACAATTCCATGAATGCGGGTTGGATATGAGATGGTAGATAGCCAATGAGGCGTATAGTGACGAGTTGGCTATCATCATAGATCTCATATCCAACAAACGCAAGTGGAATAATAATTTTATTGTTTTATTAAAAACGCCCACAAAATATCGAGAATTCTTCCTGACTTTATTTGTAAAAACAAACGATTTTCAGCTTGTTTTTAATTTTGAGCAGACGCGTACAGTTACCTCATTTGGAGAGCATGGTATAATGGCTCAAATACCATGATGGCTAAGCCAATCAGAGCCCTAGAATTGCATCACCCAATGACTCAGTTTTTGATAATGAACTTTTTACTGGGATTTCAGAGTGCTCATAAATGGGGCATGGAAGGGGGGGGCGCTATCTGGGAGGGCTTATAACTGGACTAAAAAAAGCGTTTAAAAACAATGTACATGGCAGTGCTGATCAATACTCTCTTTTTTTAAGTTTCTAAACATCCTGAACAATCAAAGTCATTTCAATTCCATCTAGAGGGGGCTATATCTGTTTTTTTTTTTTTTTTGGTGCAAAGGTAGTTGGACTTATATTTGGGGTGGGGGGACTTGTAAGGAGAAGTTTACAGTATGAGAACTATAATGAAATGACGAGACAAAAAAACTGAGTTCTATGACTATCTGTAAAATATTCCGTGTAGTGCCTTTGTCAGGTTATAAGGTATTTCTGTTGCAGGTAAAATACACTCTTTTTTCTGTCTGCTGTGAATATTAATTGAAACAATGTAGGCTGGATGCTGGTTTATCCTTCGAACATATCTGACCTTAATAACGTATTTTGAGGATAATAAGAGACACTAATGATGCCTATTATGATTATCTTAATTTTAGCCTGGATCTAAGCCTATTGTGGTGGTTAAAAGATTTGTCACAGGACGTTGTGATAACTTGGTGAAAGTTTGGAAGTAAGTACATTTAACAATTTTGCACCATTGTAGGGGGGTTACTTTAGCTGTTCATGGGTCCCTGTTGTACTTTTTGTCCAGTGACAATCATAATGCCATTGAGGATAATTTTTTTGATAATCATGACTTCTTATGTTTGGTGATTATTTTCCTTTGTCGCCTAAGACTTCAAATGCCATCAACAGCCCAGAAATATATGTCATTAATTTTTCCAAGTATTCATTTTTTAGTGATTTAGTATCCAGGACCCTCTTTATCTTTTCCTTTTTCCTCATCTGTTCTTTTCTTCATTACACTTATTTTGTTTTTAATTTAGAGAGGTGGACGGTCAGTGGGTCGAAGAAGAGAAACTTGAGGCTCATAGTGACTGGGTCAGAGATGTTGCCTGGGCTCCTAATGTGGGGTTACCTGTCAGCACCATAGCATCATGTTCCCAGGTAAAGTAACTTTCAGTGCTTTGATGAAGTGCTGAAGAAATGGGATTTTTCTCTGGTAGGGCAGCTTTGGACTGCATTATTTTACTTTCTTCAAAAGCAAACTTTTGAAAACACAGACCAGAAATCAATCTCTCTCTCTCCTTCTCTCCTAAACAGTCAGGGACCCCCAGTTGTAATGATTAAGTAATAGCGAAAGTTTATCTCAGCCCAAGGTCTGTAGCTTCTTTGACTATAGGATTTATCAGTTTGTTGATAACAGCAACATGTCCACAAGGCACAAGTTAACTGTTGACTGTTCCTTAAGGAAAAACTTAAATTGGAATAATTGTTTAACCCCTCTCCAAAATTTTATTTTTAAACTTTGAAAAAAGTTTCATCCAGAATAGCACCGCCACCCCCCCCAATAGCTGTTAATCCTTAATGTAAAATTAATAGAGTGGAAGCTCTCATGAGCAGACACCCTCGTTACACGAAAAAGGTGTTTGCAGGATGCAAAGAAAATCAGTTTTACAGCCTGCCTTTCGTCAAGCTGTAGCTAGCATGTACATGTACTAGCCAACAAGTCATTTCAACTAGCCCCAAAACCCTTTTTGATTAGCAGGATTGATTACAATCCTTCTGTAATTTGAATTTCCCCAAAAAACAGCACTTGCCCATCGGGCAAGTTAAGAACAAAAATCAATAGCCCGATAGCAAAATCCACTAGCCCCAGGCTATCGGACACTATTTTCTTTGCACACTGGTTTGTAAGTGGAGCTGGCACTTACAGGAATGTAAGAACACAGTTTGTATGGAGTTAAGAAAAATGGAGTTTTGTGAAGGCAGCTGTTAGTAGAGCTGTCCACACAGGAGAGTGTCCATTTGAAGAGCTTCCAGTGAAAGTTACTATGAGAACTTGACTGCATTTTGTTTGGATTTTTGACAGGATTGCCATGTAGTTATCTGGACAAAAAATGAGGTTACAGGTGGTGGTCGGTCTTCTAAGGTAAATACAAGGTCTCTAAAATCATCTACTGGGACTCAAGTCTTAAGATCAAAGAGTTGTTTCTGATAAAGAAATATTAGTAGTTACAACACAATTTTGACAATTGTTAGTGTTGCTGTAGTTACCCAATTTACAATACAGTCAATCCTTCATGTGCAACTACCTCTCGTAAATGACAGCCTCCCATAAGCAGTCACGACCACTTTTTAGAGTGACGGCTTTAGAATCTTGTATTGTTCTTATCCCCTTCTAAGCGACCACCTGATACTATGTCTTATCTTTGTGGTCACCGCATGTAGTACACTACTCAGAATATGAGAAGAACTTTAAGAAACAACATGGATTTACATATGTTCTTGCATTCAATACATTCTCTCCAAAAAGGAGATGTGTCTAGACGTCTCCTCTTGAAAGACCTCTTGCAGTTTGACTGTTGTAAACACCTACCTCCCTTAAGGGCCCATTACAGTAACTTCTCACATTTTATGTGGTTGCTTATCGGAGTACAGTCAAGACAGGTCAAGTGTACCCGCCAACATTCTATCAATGAATTGATTATTTAAAAAATGAATCTGTTTGTGGTCCCCGTAACTATAATTGTCAAATTCAAATCAGCATTCCTGCATGTGTAATGAGCAGTGAATATTTTACGAGAAATTTTCTGTATTAATTTTGGTCAGTTTGAAAATCTTTGAATGGATAAAATTGCTTCAAGACATTTACATCAATTCAGGGAAACTAAGCTGGCAGAAATTTCATAACTGCCTCGTTTGTGAATTTACTGCTCATTATCCATGCAAGAATGCAGAGATGAATCTGAAATCTACGACTACCAACGGATTCAACTTTTTTGAATAATAAATTCATTAATGGAATCTCAAGGGGTACGCTCGACCCGCCTTGACTGTAAACTGTAACTGACAAACATGTAAATCTGTCATAATGTGATGAAAGTGGTGACAACAACTGGGCGCAAGAAAATTGTTGTCCAATCACCAACACCAAGGGCTACTGGAGCAACCCACTGGGCGAGCCTGTTTTAAGTATGAGCTGTCTGATGTGCAAGCAACATTTGCCGCGATTAAGTAAATTTTAGTGAAAGGGGGGTTGGTGGTTAAGTGCACATGATTGCTCTGGTCTAGTGAAACTTTAGGTCATTATAAGTTTCTGGGAAACTGTCCACCTACCCCTCCCCTAAGCCAACATGAACACTTACTTCTCACTTAGCGAAAATGTTTGCTTAGGGAAAGGGTAGGTGGGCAGTTTCCCAGAGGCGTATAATTATCCGTAAGTTTTAACACCAGAATGGGCAAGCAATTTTGTTAAATTTTCATCTCACCATGCATAAAGAGACTGAAAGGGGCCCCCTAAACTTTTCTTAGCGATTTATTATTGCAGCTTTTTGCTAAATGGCCAAGTTTGATAACAAGTTTGTGTTTACTTTTCAGGTTTTAAAGAAGTTTGGTGATGTTGTTTGGCATGTTAGTTGGTCTGTAACAGGGAATATTTTAGCTGTATCTGGTGGTGATAACAAGGTAAACTTAACGTAGAATCAGCCTTAAATTGGCTGAGATGCCATGTTAAATGACACTCTTTATCTGTTTCGACCCTTTCTTGAAAGTCATGTAAGAAACAGGCGAGAGATATCCTCTCACTGATAGTCACCTTTACCCAAAACTGTCCAGCTTTCTTTTAGGCAAAAAAGAAACAGTTCAACTTTTGTTGAGGGGGTGGAAGGGAAAACAAGGCAGCATGGCCCTGTGGTCAGCGCATCGGACTTGCAATCCGGGGGTCCCGGGTTCGAGTCCCGCTCTGGCTGCTTGCTGGATTTGTTCTCGGTCATCCCAAGTTCAAATCCTCGGTCACGCTTGTAAATAGCCAACTGGATGCCTCCTGCCCATTGCGGTTTTTAATCCTGGTATGTTGTATTTGAGTTATTTGTTTTTAGTGGAGTGTATGTAAAGTAGCTGGATAAGCTAAGTGCTCTTTCCACTATAAACAAGCGTTTAAACCTTTTAGCGATGGCATGTCCACTTTGTCATATTCCCTGAAATATTCCTCAGTGAATGAAAGTGTCCTGCACTTTCACTGCAGATTGAAACTTCTCCTAGCTTGTTTTCCATTTGCTTTTGTACAGGTGAGCTTATGGAAGGAGTCAATCGAAGGCCAATGGGTTTGTGTTAGTGATGTATACAGAGGGCAAGGGCAGGAAACGCAATGATGTTTTTGTCATTTCTTGGCCTTGTGGACAGAAAAAAAAAAAACATTTTACATAGCAAGAAGAACTATGTACAGAGTGTAAAATATGTCTTACCTCGCTATACCTACAGTGTACAACACAGACAAATTTATTACATTGAAAAATAGGTTTGTGGTGTTCTCTGGCGAGTTTTGCTGTTTGATTACATGTGCAGAAACAAGAGCGTACTTACATTGAATTACGTTTCCTTTTGCGCAGAATGTACATGCAGTGGCTGTGTTCGAATGCGAAAAATCAGTGTCTGTTTAGTTTGCGTCCTTAATAATATTATTAATCTCCTCCCTTTCTCCCAGCTATTGAGACGTTCCATCAAAGTGGTCATAAATTTTCAAATAAAAAAGAATAGTTTTCAAGCTACACTGTGAAAGTAGTGTCACTTTTTAATTATTATTATTATGAGACAGTTCCTTGAAAAAGGACTGCTTATTATTTTTGTCCTCTTAAGGTAATGTGATCCTTGCAATCACATAACGGCAGTTCACAACACAGCAGTGAAACTCCATACAGCAGAGCCGTTACCATTCTCAGAATATTTTTCTCAACGTCAGCATCCGCAAAAATATGCTTAAGCATGGCATAGCTGACGAGAGAAGACTCTAAGAACACGTTGAATATAAGGAGACGCGAAGTTTAATTCTTTTAGCAGAAATTAATGTGACCTGGGTTTTCGTCAAACCTCCAACTGACTTTTGTGAAAAATTGCTTGTGACTATGCTACCTAAGCTAACACTCGTTCTTAAAATTCTTAACATTTGCTACAGATTTACTGAAACTATCTATTTTCTCATAAGTGGTGATTATTCTATTTCTCTAAACATATCAAGTTTGCATACTATTATTGAGAGCATTGCCTTTGTTCACAAGACGCATTCACTTAAACTACAGTTCTACCAAGCAGTTTTGAATTACATTGACGTAACTGTCGTTATCCCTGGATTTGTTCATGGTAGTCTAGAGTTTAAATCCTCGTCCATGCTTGTAGCCAGCTGGTTTGCCTCCGGCCAGTTGGGATTCTTAACTCTGTTTAGTTTGATTTGAATTATTTGTTTCACGCATTTGCACGGCCCCACTTGCATTAGTGCTATAAATACTGGCGAGGGTATTAAAATAAAGGAATTATTATTATTATTATTATTATTATTGTAGTTATTATTATTGTTATTATCATCATCATCATCATCATCACGATGTGCGGTGTTTTCCGGTGTTTTTTCATCACCATGATAACTATTATTACCAGCCTGCGTAGCAAGCGTTTCCTCGCGAGTTCGTCGAGAAAGTTTTCGCAGAGTAACTCGATCGGAAGCGCTTGCTACGCAGGCTATTATTTCTTTCAGCCCTAACTGAGTTAGGGGTGGGGCATTTAACACCATGAATTCCTCAAAACAACTTGAGGCTTCTTTTGGACCATTCTCTTGGAAACAATAAATGAAACCGGCCAAAACCTCCAGCACGCCCAGATTCACCACCCATCTTAGTCACTGATCGCGACTAAAAAGTGATTCTCTAGTTTCGCTACAATATCCAGCCTCTTAAAGCTGTCTTCTTTAAGTGTTTTACAAAAATCATACACTCTCAAATCTGGCATGGACGCTCTTAAAAATTGGGGGAGTTCTGTCCCAGGTTCACCGGAATTAGCCATAGCCGTTAGCTTGTGATCTCTGATACCGTATTTGACACCAATTGCTCTCCAGTCCCAGAGCCTAGGTTTCTTGATTTCCAATAGCAATGCCACATCATACATCGTGTGGTAGTCTAACTCTGCCAGAAGTCTCGGTCGCATTCCATTACGACCCGGCTGAGGGATGACGTCAAGTATTGCAGTGTCTGTCTCTTCGCCTTCGTCATATAAGCTCACATGACACATGTAAGACCCAAAATCCCGCAGCTCAACTGGATCCAGAACAAGAACGGTCTCGTTCTTCCCATCCATGGCGACACCATCTTTATACCAGTGATACATGAACCTCTTGCTTGCTCTCTCAATCTTGCAAGCTAGTTCAACTTTTGACCCTTCTTTGGCTATTTGTGATTTTGGCTGCTCTGCGATCTTTATAATGGACCCAATAACATGAAAAATATATTTTTATTTTTGTATCCTTTTGTGTCATGGGGAGGAATGTTGTTAAGTAGTTTGTGCATTGTTTTAATCATTCATGTCGTGCCTTTTTTGGTTGATTTTTGTTTGTGCTCGAGGTCTCACTCGTGCAAAAGTCTCGTTATGAAAAGGTTTGTGGTTCAAGGTTAATCCACACTTCCCTACATTGGTGTTTGATAGGGTTTTGAGTGTTATCATCTTTAAGTTTAGGTTTTAGTTAAATTTGAGTGTTGGTTCCATTCTTGAGATTAGAGCTCACTTTGAGTTTACCCAAATCAGAATTTCTGTTTTGGTTTAGTCGAAATCTTAAGTTCTGTTGTCAAACTTTTATTGGTTAAATTACACTTGGCATGCTTAATCGTGTAGGTTTGTTTAAATCCACTTTTGTGATTAGACCACAGGTTGAGGACGAAGACGTACATGTACACTGTGATATGTTTCAGTTATATATTTTTGACACGTTTTTAAACTTCCAAACATTCTTAGAGGCGCGAGCCTCCCGCCCCCTCCCTCCTGTCCCTCCACCTGCTACGGGCCTGCCGGACTAGTACAGAAAAATGTTATGTGTATTTGAGTTTGAGTGTGTTTTTTGAGGAAACATAACTATATTATTGATCATGGTATTGAGCTAGACTGTGAGTTGGTGTCTTCCTCGCAGTAGGCCTGCACCGTTCTAAACCTCTCATTTCATTGTTCACCTTTAATTTGCACTTCCATTGTTTTCAGGGATAGGGGCAGTGTTATGTGGCAATCCCTATTGTTTTCCCAGCTAATAAAAAACAATCTTTCAAATGGATGCGGGGTCGCCCCTTTCTCGTGCCGTTTAAATGGCCAACTTGTGCATCGGCGAGTGCACTTTCGCGGTCTCCTAAATTTAAGGTATTTCTAGCGATTTAAATGTCACAATTTGATAACAAACTCCTGTTAAAAGGTAACTATTAATTTTTGCGAAGAAATGAGGATGCATCGAGTGTTATTTATTTATTTTTTTTCTATTTTTTTGCTGAAAACGATATTTAACTTTAAAAACAGCAAAAACATTGCTGTGTAAGTATTTGAATGGTTACGAAACTGTATAGGATATTTTCCTTTCCTCCCACCCATACTACCCTTTCTGATTGGCTGAAGCAAATTTCCCTTGCGGCACGACCAATCAGAAGCGCAACCCAGACCTGGGTAGTGAGCGTCATCTGTATGGAATTTCTGCGCTTGTTTCTCAGACGTCATTTCGCGGGGAAACCAGTGCTGGCGTCGCCAAATGTCGGCTGTTTTCTCAGGCTATAAGTATGTGAAAATGCCGTATGATCATGGTGAGGTGTACATCTTACCTCCAGCACGCGCAGGATAAGCAGCTTCCTCAAGTGACGCATCCATTGCAATTGTCTGCGAACCAAGGTTCATTCCCGCTCTACCTAACGTGGGTGAAAGGGAAATCAAAACCAAGCGATCACTATAACGCTTCACGCGCATGGCTGTGACTTGCCTGAAAATTTCACACACTAGGATAATCACTTTTCCCACACACGAACCGATGAGTAAAAAGAAACTGACAAGTGGGTTTACCTGCAGTGAGCCGAGATACAAATTCTCCTGGGAAATCTTTACTTTTCGCTTTACCTAACAGATATGAAGGAATGCCATTAAAATAAGGTTATCTCTTAAAGCTTTGACTAACTTTTTTCTGGTTACTTAAGGAGGGTAAAGTTCTACGAGCCGAGGAGTTTAAAAGTAAAAGAAAGTATAATATGCGACTTCAAACTGTATTTTAAGAAATCTTTTCGTTGCAATGATGCAAAGTTTCTGTATTATGTAAACATTAACACGTGATTAATTTGTCTGGGGAAACATGATGTAACTTGCGTTTTGAGACCACCTCCAGGCCTGAAAACGGATGTGGATGTGTGACATTTTTTGGTATGAACAAGTTTGTGACGAGTTTAGTCACAAAGAACATAACAATGATCCCTAGCCTTTACACAATAAAACAATAATCTTCACACAATAATAGGACACAACAGTGCATATGTTGACTTGGTATATCGAGCATCACCACATCTTCTTCCAGCCTCGTAGAGGCGAATTTTCTCGACAAGCTTGACAGGTGACGTCACATCCGAAATCGCCGAGGACGACTGGGAACGAGGCTGATCTTCTTCCACTTCCTACCTGCAATGGAGCACTCCTTCCTCCCATTAAATCCGGTAAGATCTTAGAGTTGTTTTTGGTTTTGGCGGGGTTACCCCTGGGGAAAATATTACTTTCTGTGCACACCAAGATGTTTTTGGCTTTATGGTAGAGCGTTTAACTGGTTACACCTCATCAGTACAGTTACGGTCACTTCAAAACTTGAAGAAATTTGTGATGGTAAACCGCTACTCAGGGAATATTTTTAGATTGTTTGGCTAATCTTCCCACTGGTTTGAAGCCACATTCCAGGCATGGCTTCTCGGATCCCACCAGCGCTTCGGGTAATGTAGTTTTTATATACCCTTGGTTTAAATTATTTTACTTAATTGTTGTAAGCTTATTATCAGCGTTATCATTACCCACAAGCAAATTACAATAAAATTTAAACCAAATAAATATTTAACCTTAACATATGCCTTACCAGCAGCAGGCTTAGGCTTAAAACGGTTGGGTCTTGAGGCGTCGTCTTTTTTTTTTTTGACCTAAAAGAGTGAGAAGGGCATAGAAAGTAAACTACCAAATTAAAACCCATCAATACACCTGCTATACGAGCCGGCAGTGCCAGTTTATAGCGTTCTTTGTGTTTTGACTGCTCTACGTACAGGTACAAAACGAGCGCATCAATGAATGTTTTCTTTTACCTTACAAAATATTTCAGCTGATTATAGACGTGTCAAGGATCTGGTAAAATTAAGAGAACCAGTGGTTCATGGCCTCTAAAGAGAAAGAATAAAGTCTCTTTTTTGCAAATAAAAACCTTGGTGATTTTCTAGGGTGAATCTTGCCTGGTAACTTGTCTGTAAAAGCTGAATATACGTTGTTTTGATGTTGAGCTGAAAGCTTGTATTAGTTGCGCTTATTGCCTTGGTTTTTTTCTTACCGCGGTACTAGTCTTTTTATTCTCTGTATTAAGAGAATTCCCTCCGTGAGGACTTAACACTACTATAGTTAATAAATTCTATGGAAATCTAGTAATATAAATAAATAAAGCAAATGATTGCCGATTTCTTGTTTAGTCTCATTTTGTTCCTGTGCTTCATGTTTTTGATTGTGTGTTTGGTTAACAGCTCGGCGCGCGGGCTCCAAAATATTCCAACCCACAAATTTCATAGTAGCATTTTTCTTCCTGAGAAAATTATTATATTATATCTTATTACCTGGTCTGTTGTTGAAATAATTTTTGTATGATAAGGAGTCTTCCTCTGAAATAATGGTTCTCAGTGTCACCTCTTTGAGGTCAAACTCTTTCAGAACCTGTGCTCTTACAAGCGTAACTTGAACCACCTCATTAAGATGCCCTGTGCGGTAATCCTTCCACAATGCCTCGAGGATCTCTAATGAACTGCAGAAAACTGTTTTGACCAAGCTGCCTAGTTTGTAGCCTTAACGTCAACTCCAAGCTTTAATTTCAGGTATTCAAGCAATACATCTAACGATTTCTTGAATGAATACACAACATACCAGAAGTCAAGAACTTTTGGACGATTCTGCTGACTTCCTTGAAGCTCCGTGCTTGTGGATGGAGAGAATGGACCTGTTGGAGTATCTTCTACTGGTGACTCCTCTGGGTGTATGGGTGTTCGTGTCTCCTCACTTAGTTTAGATTGCAATCCGCCACCTTGCACTTGTGGGGCTGCAATGGTCAATGGGCGGACAAAAGACCCACTTGCTTTAAAAGAGTCAACAAGCATGAGTATATCCATGTGCATTTGCTCTTGTTTAATTTTCATCTGCTTCACCTCTTCCGTCAGCTCTTCTACTTTGACTTTAGTCTCCATGTCGTGTTTGTACCATAACCGAAGTTGTAAGACATTTTCTTGTGCATCTGGTGTTAGTGGTTCACGGAAAAAGTTTTCGATGGACTTCTTCCACTCATCCATCTTTGCACTACTTATCCCGCCGGCAATTCTCAATAGGGCCCCACTGATTTCCATCCAAAGCCTCTGAAACTCAGTATAGGTTATCTCCATATAGGGGCTGTGACCATAAATCTCGTTGCGATAATACTTAATTCTGACTAAGTCTGCCTCACGGCTCTGATCTGAGATGATAGGAAAATTGTCCCATCCAGTCACCGGAGCGGTGAGGTTGCATATTGATCTAAGCAATTTGCAAAGTAAACTGATATCAAAATCCACTGACTTTCCATGCCTTCCTGGCCCAATTGGGTTGTAAAGGCAGTCCCATTCGGGTTGGCTGAGGACTCTGTTTCTTCTCAGTGTTTGCAGCTGCTTCTTTACGGCAGGGTTACCAAGCACAGCTGGAAGATTAGCTGGTGGATGGATGGCGTCAAACACTTCCCTTAAAAGTGCGAGTCCTCCACGCATCAGAAGCCGTGTCAACCGCTGAAAATTAGCCTTTTCATCTGTTGTTCGTAACGCTTCTTCTACAGCAGATGGTGCTTTACCTGTAGCCATTTCTTTGCAAGCATGCCAGGTGGCGCTGTTGGCAGCAAAAACATGTCACTTCAACAAATTTTAAAAATAAGAGGCTGTCAATTAAATAGGAAGTCCTGTTTAGTAGGGGAAGTAAAGTTAGTTGCGTTAAAAGTAACCGTCTGGTATGGAAAGTTCTTTGCACAGCAAGTAAATATACTCGTACAATAGAGACATCATGCATGTTGTGGGCGTACTGGACTTCTACCCTGCTTGTGAGAAAATCTCCAGTTTGCATCATCTTATTAGGTAGATGTTCCTTCAGAAATGCAGACAAATGGATATACGATTGAATAAAACATTACGTCAAAAGAGAAAGGAAAAATCTAATGGAGGTCCAGTTTCAACACACTAAATTATCTACGCCATTTTAAAGAAACTAGTTCTTCAGTTGTATAAGAAGACACTTCTAGATTACTCTGTGAAATCGCCTAGATAAAATAGTGTGTTATTAGTGGATCTTCATTTATTTAGATTTTTCTTTTCTCTGTTGACGTAATATTAAGTAACACTTTCTTGGTTTCAAGGAACAAAATTTCGCGGTATTGAATGAAACCTGTTCTTGTACTATTATAGTGAATTTTTTAAAAGTGGTGGTTCCTGATTATGACAGGAAGAAAATGCTTAATTCCGTCCACCGTCCAGGCTTATTAAGCAGTTGGGCACCTTACAAAAGAGTCAGTGGAAACATGGTTAAATTGTACCTACTTTATTACTGTACCAACCTATGAAATAAAATTTCTCTATATTCTGAAATTAAACTGATAACATGTCACGAACAAATGTCAACACGGTCTCGTATAAATGATTATGTAAACTATTTTTGGGATTGAATATAGACCTTTACACAGTTGTTTTCAACTTTTGACATGGACAAGTTCGGGAAAATCCGTCGACACCACTCAAAACAGCGCCTTAAAATTAGTAAAATTGCCAAGTTTGGAAATGATTTGTTGAAAACTAATGAATATACAGCTCCTCAAAGTCGCGAAATTTCACAGACGTTTGTATGGTGGGGGGCACAAACTTGCCCCCAACATACAATCGTCCGTAAATTTTCGCAACTTTGCGGAGCATCCTTTTCAAAATCTCAGCCTGAGGTTTATTCTTGAAATATTCTTAAAATTTTGCAGAGTTCAACCTCAAATATATTCTTATAACAAAATAATAGTTTATATTATCTTCGCAAATTAAAGACGTATCACTTTCAAATTTGGCAATTTTACTCTAAATTTTACGGCGTTCTTTTCAATGGTGTTGACTTCCTCCCCAACTGGTCCATATAAAAAGTTGAAAAAACCGTGCAAAGACTCTGCAAAGGTCTATTTTTTTTATTAAACTGGTTCTGTATAACCGATCAGAACTTTAATATCGCGTGGTGCTTTTTTGACGCCAGCACAAGTGATGCATAAGTACACGTCCTTTAGAGTCCTCTGTGAACGAGACACCAGAGAAGACGTGTGCGTCCACAGAGTACCAAAATACTTGCCACCGTGAGAAACATCCCATTTGCAAGTAACCAGTTTACACAAACATGAACTCAATGTTAAAAGGGTCTTTTCATCGATGATATGCAATGGATCAACTTTGGCCATTGGCAGGGCGAGAAAATCAACTTTTTAATGTCAAAACATTAACAACGTCGTCGCGTCAACTATATATGTATAAATTACGTATCCTATTGATTATTCTCAGAACATTTGAGTAGAATCGATGCCCAATTTCTCCTTGAAAATAAAATGTACGTGCGATCTTGAATATGACGGGTTACAAAAGAAAACCAATGTACACCAGTGTGCAAGCAGTCTACTTGGTTTTCGAATCCGATGAACAATACGATGAAATCTGTAAAACATTTATACTTTCAGCAATATTTTTTTAAAGTTTGTGGTTACAATTAGGCTTTTTAAACAAAATTACCTCAGTTTCTAAACAGTGCACATGCAAGGAGTGTAGACGCGAGGTCTCCAGAAGCTAAGCAAACCGGGATCGACAACTACTTCCGCCTTGGCGTATCATGGAATATGATTGCACTTGCGAAATCTGGAAATTCCACCCTTAATGGTTTTATCCTTCATAGTGTGCTACACTAAAGACAGTGGCAGCTTAACTTCTCAAGTGGCTAAAATTCGGCCAGTTCTATATCGACCTTCTCCCGCGCGCCATCTTTCAAGCTACGTGTGGAAAGGTCCAGAAAATTCTCGTTCCCAGAATCTGTAGAGCCACGGCCATTCTAATGTGGTTTCCACACATTATGTAATTTATGCGAGTGCATGTGTGGCCCAAAAGTGGGCGATTCGTTCTTTCCGACTTTTAAGGGTCTGAATGAAAGTGAAAGTCAGAGTCCTTTCGCGAAAATTTTCAAGTTCTTCGCACTGCTTGTGATAAATATAAGCCCTAGTACAAAGGGCAGTTAATTTTTTTTAGAAAATCAAGCCAAATCTGGATGTAGTACTCATACCATAATTTAGTTAGTACTAGACAGATAGCAGCAAGCTCCTTTGGGTCAAAACTTAGTAAGTGTGCTTTTTAAGGTAATTGCATTTGACAGAAATTTCAGTCTGAGACAAGTGATTGCTAATAATTTAGACCTAGACTGCCACAGCAGTGCTGTAGCATGGGGAGGGGGGGGGGGGGGGCAGCGGCCACGCTCACTATGCTGCTTTTTGGCTCAATGTGTTCATTTCGGTTCGATAAAGCGTGAAATTTATATATTTATTGCTCAACAAAGGAAAGGAGATTTGCACGCTGGCAAGTTACTGCTGGTAATGCCAGCAACAAATGCTGCGATTGAACGGTCATTTTCTGCTTTGAAGCGCGTAAAGGCATATTTGCGTGCAATAACTGGAGACGCAAGGCTGAACTATCTCACGATGCTTCATGTGCACAGGGGCAGGACTGACAACGGTTTGACCTGGTGGCTGCAGCCAACGACAACATGAAAGCGTTGGAAAATTCACCGAAACGGGGGGGTCGCAAACGATGTGCCTCGAAAGTTGTCTTTGCTCTCCAAGTCGACTCAAACATCCGAATAAGGCAAAGAAATGTTATTGTCCGTGGACTCTATGTAGGTAAGAGGTTAATTTATCATAAAATACTTCCCACTGACAAGTTGTACAGTCGACTCTCGATAACTCGAACCTTCAAGGGAAATCGAAAAATGTTCGCTGAGTTATCGGGAGCTCGAAGAAAATAGCTGGAAGTAAGGAAAAAACAGTTTTTACTACACAGTGAACATTTTAATCACATTTAATTGTAGAAATGTTAAAAAAAATAGAAAATAAAATAAAAAACGTCTAGATTATAAATCAGAAAGAAAGGTAACAAAACATGACCAAATAGAGCATGCGTTTTACTGTTTTGAGAAGTAAAGCTGTTTCACGTTACATTTGTGACAAGCAACATCAGCCTCCTCCAGTAAACTGCCGCAAAAATCTGAAAATAAGCCTTGGGGCTTATATTTTCAAAGGCCCTTTTTGAGGGGCTTACCGTAAAATTCCGAAAATAAGCCCCTCCATGTATAAGCCCCTCCAAATATAAGCCCCCCAAACTCGTAACGCAAAAAACCCTCCGTTAAATCGCCCCTCCGAATATAAGCCCCTCTGGGGCTGGCACTTGGAAATTGCCCTCAAATACAAAGTAAAACAAACCAAAAACGGTAAATTTCCTTCCAACTATAAGGGTAACCCAATCGATTTTAATTTCCCTCCGTAGATACGTCCCTCCGAATATAAGCCCCTCAAAAAGGGCCTTTGAAAATAAAAGCCCCGGGGCTTACTTTCGGAATTTTACCGTATTTTTGGAGGGGCTTGTATTCGGAGGGGCTTATATTCACCGACGGAAATTGCGGTTCAAAATCGATTGGGATTGGACTAGCTTAAAGTTGGAAGGAATTTACCGTTTTTGCTTTGTTTTACTTCGTATTTGAGGGCTCTTAGCTTCGCGTGCTGAAAACTAAACTACGCAGCCAAGGAAACAAAATACAAGATCCATTTCATCTCTGAATATTATGTCACGATCACGTAACCCACCGTCTGAAAAAGTAACACTTCTCACGCGGTTTCAAATACAAATATAGGTAAAAGGAAACTGTCAAGTTAATCGTGCAAACATCTTTTGCAGAGAAAAACTAAAGTAGAAGGGGGGAATGACCTTCCAAAATATCCTTTCTTCAATGGCCGACTTTCGTGATGTAGTATCGGTGCTGCCATTCAGCCCGACTAATAAAGGCAAGAAGAATCTTTGTGGCTGTGCAAAGAAGGCTATAACCGACAATGAGCCTTCGTGGCTTTTTGATTGTCATCGTATGTCGGGCCCGCAACATTAAAACAGCGGCTGCGTCAGCAAATTGATTGGCGCCAAAAAAGGTCGCACTTTTCAGTTGAATTTATTTCTTTGGGTCATTCTGCGTATATTACATTCCCCATAGTTATGTCATTCCGCAAGCCATGCCACATGCCCTTCCGTAAAGTCATGCCGCCTTTTACCCAACTCATTGTTTAAAGGAAGCATTGGCCACGTGACCTCTTAGTGCAAGTGGCCTTTTATATTCCTGTCTAAGCAGGAGATGATCTTTTCTTTAATATCGTTACAGGCCACATCGCTAAAACCATCAAACTGAAAAGTTTACTCGTTATACCATGGTATCTAGGATGTCAAGGGGCACCGCGGAAATACGTTATAGTATTTTGCTGGTCAGCGTCATTGAATTTTAAAATTCAAAACACCGGCAACTTTAAATCGGTATTCAACGTGAGCCCAGTAGGCGATAAAAAACCCCAAAAGTTAGAGCGAAAACTGAAAACTTAATCTTTAAACTTCGCTTCTAGTTTCCTTATTCCTTTTCACACATTGTATATTGTCAAAGACAAACTGTGCTTGCACAGCAAGTGAATTTTTTTAAAGTTTCACGGCGCGATAGTCTTGGTAACATGATGATTGGTGTTGCGCCGATGTTGAATGCAAAGGCCAAAAACAGGCAT